GTAAATATGAGAATATGTTTTGGGTCGTGTGATATGTGAAGCTGGTTAGAGGGTATTTAACTATTTATAGAAAAAAATGAGACGCGTTTTTATTTTTTATATGAGAAATTAGAGAAAAAGAAAAAAAAAATCTGAAGATCCATGTGATTGAATGATGGAATTTATGTATCAATTTTACCTATATTTTGCGCTATTAAAAGATGCTAAAATGTCATAAATGACTTGTCTGGACATTTAGAGTTAATTGACCTACAAATTTTCATTATGTGCTAGTTCTAAAATAAATCTAATTTGAGTAAATCATGTTTTCACAAGTCCAGCAATTAAAACACAAAAATACCCAACAATAAAAATACATTATGAAATTTTTTTCTCGTAAGTGTTATTTTCACTATATATAGGGAACAATACATATCTCAACCCTTTAGGAAACACTATTTTACTTTTACAATAAATACTTTCAAAATTCATAAATCAGGTTTCTACTAATTAAAAAATATATAATATATTATATATAGAAATTACGTTAATTAGGTATGATTTAATAGAATCCCTGAAATCATGGAAGCCGTTACCATTTGAAAACAACATTCCCGTCCAAACAATATTCCCGTCAAAGAATCTCTTCATTCGACTCCATTGATCTATGTAATTCGAAATTTATTGGTGCTGGGAGGTCTCAGTAGCTTGGAGGACAGAGGTTTACGCAATCGGAAAATCTAATAGCTGAGATCACGTCTATAGGCCAGTCGAAACCGTATTTCTGCAATCGNATTATTTATCATTCATATATAATTGAACTTTTAAATCGTTTCTTCTTCTTCTTTAGAATTATAGAATATTTCAATCCACCTTGTTAAATATGTGATTCGTTAACTTAGTGAAGAAAGAGAGAAATGCTATATGTGTTTTGATAAATCCAAGTCTTCTTTCAATCTCATTTTTAAAATTTTTATCCCCTCATACATTCAAGTAATTATCTTGTTTTCTCTCATATCCTAAAGGACAAAATACATAAAAATACCTTAGGTGTGTTTGTTTTTAATTAAATTAATGGCATATCGATAACCTCAATCTAAACAATCAAGCAGCAAAATATACTTAACCAGCACATTACCCAGTGAATTCTGTGTTTTCTCTTATAATATACCTGAAAATATGCTAAAATGCCACAGATGTCATGTCTTGGCATATGTAGGTTTTCTCTACGATCATCATTTTGTGCAATAGTCACTGTATATAAATCATATGAAAAAAGCCAACCTACAAATCTCCATAATGTGTTAGTTCAAATAATTTAATTCGAGTGATTGTTGGCATTTGGTAAATCTTACAATGATTATCGTGAATTTCGAATGTCAAATTCTCATCGCTAATTGTTTGACGAACTAGTATATAGTTGGTAACTATTGATGAAGTAACAACATTTTTTTTTTTTCTAAAGGTACTTTCGTCATAAATTACAACTAGTAAAATTTGTTGGAAAATTTTCATGCATTTCCCAACAAAATTGTCTTTTGAAAAATTAGTTTATGTTTTTTTTTTCAATAACTGATTAGCAACAAAATTTTACCAACAAAATCCATAAATACTTTAATCTTTGCTTTCAAAAAATAACAGAAACATAATTCGTTTCTACTTTATTGGAAATCTGTTTCTGTGGTGGACGAAAAGTGTTAATATTTTTCACTATTGCTACGAACTAAACATCAGTTTACCCATTTTCTTCTCAACAGCCTTTTGCAGTGTGGAGTCTGCTTTTTCCACTTCTCCGACATCAATGTAAAGCTTCACAAGTACATCCCAAGTCAGTGGTATGATGATATAACCACTCTTAACCATTCCCTTTACGAGGTCCTTGGCCAACATTTTATGTTGTGCATAAACTTTTAATAGAATCGGGGATCTTTTCATCTCATTCTATAATGTATTGTTTTGATGCTTGTACATATTTATGTACTAAGTGTATACTTGCATGTATGGGATGTACAAAATGTTTACATATGTGAATTCTTGATATTAAAATCTTGGCATTGAGCCGAATATGGAATCTTTTTCCTTGGGGATGCAACCCTACAGTTTAGCATTGACGTATCTTAGTGCTACATTGACATAGGAGAATCAAGAAGATTGATCTTAGAAAGAAATTTGCCAATTTTTTGAATTTTTATCACTTCCAACTTATTGATAATTATGTTCCTAAAAATGAAGTT